CGGGCAGGTCTACACGAGGGTCTAATCCCGTCGCAGGAGTTGTGCCAAGTCCGAAGTCTGGCAGATTTTGCGGAGGCTGTCCACCAGGAACGGGGACACCTGTAACGGGGAGGATGTCGGGTAGAGTGAAGCCTTCCATGTTCGTGCTCCTAGGAGTTACTCCGTCGTTAACAATGTTCACAATCTGGCCATTGGGGAGTCTCACTATACGACTTCCAATCTGTTGGGACTGATTCTCCCCATTCATGGAGACAGAGGCTTTGCTTGAGGCGCTGGCTTCAAATCTTGATCCAGTGTTTTCCCCAAGCATAACACTTGCTTCAGCACTGGCTGATCCCGCCACCGGCTTTAGGAGTGTAGTTGGGACCATAGTAGGGTTTGTAGTGGCACCGTCTTGTTCTCTTGGTCCAGTTGTATTCCGAGGGCTAATAAAGAAGCAACCGGCTCTGCTATTCTCCCAAAATACCAGGAATAAGACGCACAAAAGACATTCTCGAAATCGCATTCCGAAGTCAGAATTTCAGATCGTCTAAATGATTACCAGTGTCAGGCAGCGTAACCGGTCGAACTTTTGCTCCAAAGTGACCGCCGCTTGACCTTTCGATCAGTTCACGTGACATTTGTGAAACTGCGCTTCCTTCTCGGTGGGAGTGCGCTGATTTATGCATTTGACAGAGTGAGAGGGTCACATGCAGGCTGCATTAGTTCGCAAACAGTATGAGGTTGATGCGGAAAAGCTTGATTTACACTAAATTATTGAAAACATGCTTAGTGGTAACGCCTATTTTAGACAGTGAAAAAATAGTAGCTTGTTTCGTAAATTTCAGTCTAGTATGTAGGTATGAAAAGAAGTAGTGTCCGCAGTGCTTGCTCTAGGACTGTACAGTAGATTCCTTAACTCATGAAATCTCATGAAATTTACCAGAAAATTTCTTTTACGCAAAAGCAGCCGCCGCTACATCCCCACAGCCTCACAACAGCAAAGGAACGATCTTCCTTAAAAATAAGGCATATTGTGGTTTATCAATTAATATTACATTATTTAGAGATACCAACCTTTTCTTAAAGACGCGGAAAATTCCAAACAAGTAAAAAATCTGGAATAATAAGTAAATTTAGGTTTTAAATGTAGGAAAGGCCTGTTCAGGTAAAAAAAGTAGAGTGAATAAAGCAGCAAAAGTAGAATTACGTTTAAAAATAGTCATTTTGTTAATCTTTCGGTGATATATTCCTCCATGTTAGGCCAAGTGTAAAGTGTGACCTTTGCCAAAGAGCCCAAAGTTAGAGTATACTTTCAACAGACTTTTATGATAATTACCTGTTGTTTCTTCCGTTTCTACATTGATTGAGATGCGTTGGAGTAAGGCAAACCGATCTTCGCTTGATTGCGCCACTGAGGACGCGAAAGGAATAAGTTATTTCATAAACTAACATGTAGACATGATGGGCAATGTCTCAATGTCAGATGTAATCCTAAACGGCCCATTTTAGTGTACATTAAGAGATATTTTCTTTTGTCCTATTTCTTTGTAATTGACTAGGGTGAGGTTCAACTCGTTCTGGAATACTGGTGAACACCTTACGATTTTCAGTCGATCGTTCAAAAACATGGATGCTGTTCTTCTTGTTTATTAAAACCTTCAAAATAAATTATTTCTTAACAGCATTGATCGAAATAATGAGATTTTTGGACATACTTTCCAATGCATCTGACTGTTTTGGTCATATTTGTAGACTCATCCAGCCATTAAAACTCATTACGGAGAACAATGAACGTCCACAACAAAAGTTACAAATCAATATGCCTAAGATCAATGAAGAGCGTTGTCTAAAAAAATACCTCTTTAAAGAGCGTTTAATTAGATGTTTCGACGCCGAATATCGGCTTATACTTCCTTTTTTCACAAGTAAGTCGAGGAAAAAATTGGGAATCTTGAGTAGTTTTATGACTTTCCTGAAAAGAAGAAGGATAAAATTTCTGCTAAAAATGGATGAACTCACTTTTCTCCTTATATTGGAGTGGTTTGCGCTATATCTACAGGGTGTCCCAAAAAATTTATACACATTTGAACAAGTTTAACCTTGATGTTTACTACAATTTTATTATTTCAAAAATGTAAAAGTATTTAGAAGTATCACCTTATTGTTTTTCTACTGCATTTTCAGTATATTTAAATAGTTGATAAAAAGAGGAGCCATTGAGCATGAATTTGCCCAAATACGAATGGAATTGTTTCATGGTGTGCGCGATTCCATTGCTTCGCGTTGTCAGCAGTGTCTGGATTAAATAGACGTCATTTTGAGAACATGCAGTGAAAAATCAATAAAATGATACTCATAAATATTTTTACATTTTTGGAATAATAAAATTACATTAAACACCATGCTTACAATTACTTAAAATGTGTATACATTTTTTGGGACACCCTATATTTACTTTTAGGCCTCGTTATAAGCATGCTTTAAATACTAGACCTTTGTTCTTCCTCTAAATTGACTTCCCACAAAACTTTGTCCAGAAGCTGACCGCAGTCGCACTCCAGTCGAAATCTAAAGTTTCTTCGCCAGATATCTGCAGCATTATTCTCATCTTTCCAGGGAGAATGATTAAGCTTCTTCCTGGATGTCCGACTAGACACATTTAGTACATCATGTGCGCGAGCCACATGTCTGTTGTTTTGTCAGTTGCGAACGGAAATACGGTGATAGGGCGGGGCTCACTGATTCGGTTAAGGAATATGTGTGCTCCGTTGCTCACCGGAACTCATTTCAGGGCATGAGCGCGGGTGGTTTAAGTCTAGATCGTCATCACCGGAGTCGGAGTTAAGGCTATATCCTTCACACTTTCTCACACCTTCAGTAACTGATTGTTCTTTTATATTTGTACTCAGTCATTGTAAATTTCCACCGCTGTCGGAATGCATAAATAGCTGTTTAGGGACTGAAGATTAGTCGAAAATGACCAACTAGTTGTTTGAAGCATCTTTTCCCAGGTGCAAATTGGAAGATTGTGTATGCAGCCCAGGGA